AAAATTGGGCAAACTTAGGGCTGTTAACAATCACAACTGAATCCAACTTGTTTTATCCAGACCCATCAAAAAAAAAATCATGTGCTGGGAGTTTACAAAGACTATGGCTAGAGGAGACGTTAAATAATTCACTGAAGATAAGTAGTAAGATTTGGTTTTTGAATGTGGTTGGTCCTTTATAATTGTATGGAAATTGAACCTCATGGTTAGTGGGTCAAACTCACCAGCCGCTCTTCGGAAACCCTATACAGGGTTGCTATGAGTCAGAACTGACTTGACAGCATTTAATGACAACATATTCCATCCTGGTGTGATACTGTAGGATAAGCACTGGACTGCAAGTCCAGTTTGAATCACAAAGTTGGCAGTTCAAACTCAACAGCTGCTGCTCAGAAACCCTATACAGGGTTGCTATGAGTCAGAGCTGACTAGACAGCACTTCACAACAACAACAACAACAAAAGTATTCCACCTGGTGAGGTCCATCTAGAGTCACTGTTGATGTTGCTGAAAACCTCTTCAGGTCCTGATCTCTAATTTGCATTATACTTACTATGTGTTGTGTATATCTTCTGTTGTTAAGTTATTAAGTGCTGTGAAGTTGGTTCCGACTCATAGTGACCCTGTATAGGGTTTCTGAGGAGTGGGTAGTGACCTTGAACCACCTACCTTAAAGTTCAAATCAACCTTGCAATTTAGTGCATTAACCCACAGCACCGCACTAATGCTGTTGTTGTTGTTGTTAAGTGCCGTCGAGTCAATTCTGACCCATAGTGACCCTGTATAGGGTTTCCGAGGAGCAGCTGGTGAGCTGGAACCACAAACCTTGCAGTTCAAACGGCTTTACAGTCTGGCGCATTAACTCACAGTGCCACACCAGGATTCCCGTAGAGAGTATCAAATTGATTCTGACTCGTGTGTGCATGATAGAACTGTATCCCTTAGGATTTTCAAGGCTGTGACCTTTCAGAAGCAGATCAGCAGGCCTGTCTTCTGAGGCACCTCTGGGTGGTTGAAACCACTAACCTTTCTGTTAGTCACTGAGCACTTAATGGTGTGCGCCATCCAGGGACTCCAATGATCTCCACTAATCCATCAGCTCCTAGAGAGCAGAGAGCTGAACATCACTCTTCACCTACCCAGACGGTGCCTCTGCTGATTCTTGGATGACAGCTGGCCCTCAGTAAATGCATTCTCACAGAGTTGAACTGACTCAAGATCCAAACACCAAAATCAGTGGTGAAATGCAATCGATCCAGAAGTTTTCACGTGTGTGGTTTATAGGCAGAATTGACTTCCTCCTTAGATGAAAGTCGGTAGCCCTGGAAGTTTTGTACACAAGCCCAACAATTTCTATAAAACACTAAGTGATTTTTATTCCCTACAAGGGCTGGGGGCCAAGATTCCCATGGCTTTTGCACCTTCACTTGGCAGCTAGTAAAATGAATTACCAGGCTGACCCCACCCAACAGAGCACATGATCCCCCGCAGCTGTGAGTGTTTTTTAGCATGACTACAACAGGAGAGGGCTCCAAGCCACTGGGTGGAGCAATGAGCCCTGGGGACAGAGCTTATGACATTTCCCCTCTGATTCCAACAAAGAAAAGAAAAATCCCTCTTTTTAAAAAATGAGCTGCTTAGGCTCAAAGTCAATAGAAGACGTTGTATATAGTATGGTGGTGGCAGTTATGTGGTTCCGATTCATTGTGACCCTGCATAGGACGTCCAAGACTGTAAATCTTCACAGGAGCAGAAAGCCTCATCTTTCTCCTGCGTGACCACTAGTAGTTTTGAACTGCTGACCTTGAGGTTGGCAGCTTGACTCGTAACCACTATGCTACCAGAGCTCCTTCCTTATATAGTATATATACCGGTAATGCTTGGATGAACCTGTAGAAGATAAAGCACTATTACAGTGAGAGAGAATTTCAGATCCGTGGTTGTGAGACGGAAAGGAAAGCAGACACGGCTTAGTTAGTGCACTTTCCTCTTTCCTTAATAACAGAATCTGATTTTTATTTGGGATGACAGTGTATACAGCTAAGGACTAGGCTCCTGCCAATGAGATAGAAACAGATGTGTCAGGTGGAACAGCCTGCTTAGAGGAAGCTGATGGCATTCAAAGGTTTGCTCTCTACAGCTGACTTGCCTTCCTCCCTCCTGCCTTTGGTTGAACATGAACTTGGTGACTGGACCTCCAATAGCCACCTTAGAACGTGTGGTAACCTCGAGGTTGGAAGCCCCACATCAGGATGACAAGGCAGAATGAGAACGAGGCTGGGGGCCAACACAAGGATCTACTATATCAGCCTATGACACTTAGCTCCTAGCAGCTTTTGTGAAAGAAAAAGCAAACACCGACGAAGCTATTTTGTTAAGTTACTTTTTTCAGTTTTTTTTTTTGTGTTTGTGTTTTTTTTTTGTTTTTTTTTTTATGCAGCTA